ATTTCAAACTGACTCATTTCCTATACTGTCTTGTCCAGGTAGTGACCAGCCCTCAGCCAACGACCCCAGTGGAGGGAGGAGAGCCTGGGGATGTCAAAGGTCAGCCGGAGGAGGTGGAAGGGGAGGAGGTCAGCTCTGTGACCGCAGCCAACAACGCTGTCCCGGACAACGGGGACACTCAGGGAGAATGCCTTGTCGACAGCCAGGCATAGGGATGACTGAGGCAATAGAATGAGGGAGAGAGAGAAAGACACGGAGAGAGATACAGAGAGAGAGAGAGATTGTGTTGGGGGAGGCGCGCCCGCCCGCCCCCCCGGCATGGTTCCCCTCAGTCTCGAAAAGCTCAGGAGAAAAGAGAGCTGGCTTAAGAGTCTGATCTGCTCTACTGTAAAGAGAGCTACAATATTATTATATACTAGAGATTACTACCCACTCTATATGATAGACACATTGTTATATAACCTTTGACCCGAGCCTGTGTGTGGGTGACCCCACTCTTTTCGGTAGACACGCTACTCTTGGCGCTCATATGACCTCGTGCAGTTGTGAGTGCCGTTAAACCTCTACTAAAACAAGACATGCTGCTCTCTCTCTGTTATAACCTTTGACCTGAGGGTGTGTGGATGACCCCAGTCTTTTCGGTAGATATGTTACTCTCTCTGTTATATCTTTTGACCTGAGAGTGTGTGGACGACCCCACTCTTTTCGGCAGACACGCTACTCTCTCTCTCTGTTATAACCTTTGACCTGAGTCTGTTTGTGATGACGCAGTGATCAGTCGAGAATCCTGCTGGCTTCCTGTGATGAGTTCTGGTTGACGGCACGCCCGGATGTTGATCCCATGGACCACGATTGTGGTGTGCTCCGATTTCTTCGTGTTCGAGTCCAACAAGCTGTTTGGGCCTATTCTTCTCTTATTTGAATCTCCTCAGAGTTCTCCTTAAGTGTGTGTGCGCATGTATTTACTGATCCATACATTTGCGATCAAGAGTTGTGGAACTCATTTGTTATAAGGAAGAGGAAATGTTTTCTGAAGGGGAGACAAAAATGGGTGAAAGTGTTGGGGGAGGGGGTGGGGGGCTGATGTTGTATATATAGAATTTGCTTCACTTAAGTTTTCTGTAGATATTTTGTGTCCCCAGTCACTTTGGGATGTTCACTCCTTCTCTATTTAGAGGTTGTGTGTGTTGGTGGGGGGGGAGGGGGGGTTGTGAGATGCTCTCTTTGTAGCAGAGGGGGGGGGGGCTCTGCTACTTTATTTTCTCTCCCGTGTTACCTTTTATTCTCATCTGTCCCTGATACAGTTGTCAGCGTTTTTGGACAGACACATGGGAAATAATTGCTCCTCAGCTACAACAACCAGTTCATGTAACTTTGTGTGTGTGGAAGGGGATATGTTGAAATAGGTCCCGTAAAGACAGCATCTTTGTTCTTTTGGAAGAGTTGCCTGTTAAAAATGATGTGTTTGGGGTTTTTTAAAATCCTGAAACTACTATACCATAGTAGGGGCATGTTCTGAAACACAATCGTCATTGACTCAGATTTTTCTTCCTTGGGGGATGGGGGTGAGTCTGTGGAGTCTGCTTTAGCTGAAATCAGTGGGGCCTCAAAAGTTTTCTTTAATTTTGCTGTGTTTTGGGTTTAGAAAGATTGACCAAACAGCGAAGAAGAAAAAATTGGGCTTTCTGTTTTCTTTGGGTTTACCGGGGGGGGGGGTTTTCAGATTAACCGTGTCCGGTTGAAATGGACTCCACCGTAGTTGCTGTAAAAATAAATGAAGTCTAGTGTATTGGAAGTATGACTTTTAAATGTTCTTACTTTCCCCAAACCCTAGTTGAGAGCCTTGTGCAGGCTTCACTGTCGTCATTCAATTAACCCCTATATTGCCTTATGACGTACCTGGTATGTCACGAAAATGCCTAATTGTTAGCTTTGTCAAGAAAGTTAGCGAAGTTTGCCGCTCCAGGTTGCCTGTAAGTAAGATGTTACATTTTCTTCATGCTGGTCATCTGGCTCTTACAGACTTGCCAACCTGTAAGCAATATGGGTGTTCTAGTTTGCAAAACTGTCAGCAATACACACAAATGTGCGTCGAAACGATCAAATGCGCATCTTTTGATTTTCTGATAAGCATGATTGCCATTGGTAGAAACCCGCTGTCAAGCCCTACTCAGATTGTAAAACTTGTCCCAGGTCTCTACCTCTCCTTGTGAAAGGCCTGGAATTTGTCAGTGTTGTCCGATTCCGCTTAATTCGAGTACTCATCGTGAGTTGGGAATACGCGAGCAGTTTGCCAATACTTCTTGTTTTGTTTTTTCCATTAAGTATCAGAATCGGAAATTAATTGGCATTCGATGATAGAATTTTGTTTGCGTTCAGGCTTTTGGGTTGTTTTTTTTTACTGCTGAAATCCCACTGAGTTCCGGGTTGTCGGTCTTGAAATATCAACAGAGCCTCCTTTTTGCAATGTCGCAAAATAAGCATTTCATTTTCAAAATAAGCAAAATCATGATTCCCCAGCCTGAAAAATAAGCAAAGTGAATTTGGGGGAATGGCAAGTCTGCTCTTAATTTTTCTGTACCGAGTTTTAGCTTCCAGCACAGCATGGATTTAAATGCGCAAATTGGTACCAATAAGTAAACACAAGTCTAGTCTTGTCGATAACCACATTCTCTTGCCAACTGCAAAAGCCGAAATGATTTGAAAAAGTCAGAAAATTACACTTTTTGACTGAGATTTTCATTTAAAATTATGAGTAGGATTGGGAATCGAGAGAATGAGGACAGTGTCACTATTGAGGACTCGGGGGGGGGGGGGGGGGGGTGTCAAAGTATTTCACGAGTGTGCTTGCTAGATCTAGACTGAGTCCACTAAGACTGAGACATGAGACTGCAATCCTGGATAACCAGCCTAATGAAAATCAATGCTGACAGTAGGCACCCAAATCCCCTGGCAATGTGAGGGTTAATTGAAAATCAATGCTGACAGAAGAACCCCCCCCCCACGGCAACAAAGGGGTTAAGACTTTCATCATCTGGTACCATACATAGCTGGTCAGGGTACAGACATCAGGTTCCAGCGGGTCATGACCCCAGAACGACAAGGTTTTATCTCAGTTACAATCACTTTTGAGATATATATCTGGGTTTAAAGTTATTTACACTCACTCACCATCATTGCCTTTCTCACCCCGGATCAGGGTACAGGCTAGGAATTAATTAACACTTTCACCTTTCCCTATCCTGGGCTACCCTCTTACTCATGTTATTCCATGTCTTCCCACTTTTCTGTATATTTTCACACACTGTTTTGCCCTCAAATGAAGAACAAAGTAAAATTAGTTTTATCACAGTCTCAGGGTATAAAGGGACAGGAATTCCAACTTTGACCCACGTTGTAAAGGGAGTACTCCACCAAACACTTAAAATTCTGGGTTAAAACCTTGTTATTGTAGGGTGGTGATGTGTCTCTAAACATTGGACTTAATCGACTGTCTATTCCATATATATCAGTACAATAAGCCATGATACAAACCTCACTGTCTTGCGTTATTTTATTGTATTCTGTGTAGATTCTTGCTTTGATATACTGGGGTCTGCGATGAAGCGATATTTGGCACTTCAGCACCGTTATATGCAGAAGAAGACGCGAGTTACATTCGGGTGTGGTCGCTTTTGTTTTTCTAAACTGGACAATTGCTCCATCTGCCTGCTGGCACATTGTTTCACCTCTCAGTGCAGGTGGACAGGCAGGGTGGAAGCAGCCCGCCCCCTTAATGATCAAAGTTGTGTCGATGGGGGCGTGAAACTACAGGTGCAAAGAACTCAAGATTAAAAACCCTACTCTGCCGTAAGCTGACAAAACGCCTTTTTTTTCTTCACAGCAGTTTCGAGAAAAAAAGGTTTTTTGTCAGCGTAACAGTTTTAAAAATAAAGTGATTTCGAAATTTGAATTCTTATTTATTCAAAACCTAGTCACAGTTTCACTTAGATTTTTTCGCACAAGTAGGGTAACTGATGAGGCTTTCGATTTAGCAAATAGGAAATGTTGGCGCCAAAATGAAAAAAGGCGTTTTGTCAGCTTACAGCAGTACTGTATTGTATATTATATTTTGTGTAGATTCACGCCATGATACCGAAAGAAAATGTACAAACATCAATATCTTGTGTATATTATATTCTATGTACTATGTAGGTCCCTGCCATGGTAATAGTTTGATCCTCGCTGTCTTGTATGTAGGTCCACTGGGTATTATAATATATATAGATCTCACCATTTTGTTATTCAGTGTAGGTCTCCATATCATCCTACAAAACTATAGTTGATGTCTATTCCACGTCGTCACGGTTTTTTAACTTTAGCAAAACTGCCTATACTCTATACTAAGTCATTTATTGTTGTTCTGAAGAAAAAAAGCAGTGCTCACTTGATGAATCAGTCTTATTATGGCATAAGAAAAAGTGAACATGTCATATGTGCTATTGGATTTTTTGTACACATAACAACAACCTCATTTTTTAACAGTGTTTTTATGTAAATGTAAGTTAACAGCAAGACTTGAGCAAAAATGAGATTGTCTGAAAAATCAAATTTTTTGGGGCCTGAAAGTGAAACAAAATCCTGCTTCTTCATTGAGACTGCAAACAAAGTTACATGCATTTTTATCGTATCTTCATCAATAACTGAAAATCTGGACACCCTGACTTAAGCAATTGTGTTATGATTTTGACTGTGACGATTTCAGTCCAGGCCCTCACGTGAAACTGGGTGCGCCTTCCCATCCCTACCTTTAGTTTATGACAATTTGTGTGTGTAGAGCCTTTGGCCTCTTTGCTCTGGCTGGCCAAGTCATGACCTTGTATTTGCCTGGCCATGTGGCCTTCTCTCATGGTTAGAGGGTGCCACTGTTAGGTCCTACTTCTTTTGTTTCCGTCCGTCTGATCATCTTACTATCCTGCACTAAATGACCGTTATTGTGTCGATGTGCTTCTTTTCACTCAAATTCAAACTCAAAATCAGCCGGGCCTACCCATGGATGTTGTTTGCGCGACTGGCCTACTTTTCTTTGCAATACTTGAATTACTTACTTTACCCTTGGTTTGGGGTACACATTGATCTGCTTTGGGGTTGGACAGATGCCTCCTCCGACATTTTATGTAGCAACAGAATAAAAATGTTTTTGCATTGACACTTTGATGTGATGGCTTGTCTTGTTTTTTTCTGTGCTCCTGTAACTGTTATTGAGATATATATATATATATATATATATGCTTCTCTTTACTCATACAAACTCAAGCGTCCCAATGAGAGCTGAAACCCGGCTAAAGAAACCGCCCTCCCCTGTAAAAATGCCAAGACGTTGTTGGGTCTGATAATTCATTTCATGGATTGCTCAAGTGTGGACAAAGACTAGACCTGTGGGTGGTTGGCAGGTGCTCTGGTGTGGTTTGCTTCTTCTTTCCTATCAGACGTCTCTATCGTCCTTATCTCCCCCTTCTTCCTTTTTATGTTTGTTACTCTCTTGGAATTCACTCCTCTAATCTTCTGACGCTCTTATGACCTTATGCAGTTGCGAGCGCCGTAAAAACCTCTACTAAAACTAAAAGACTTGACCTATTTATAGACCTGGTGGCTGGAGGGCACCACTACACGTAGTAAGTCCTACTTCTTTCCCTCTCTTGTTCCTGTCTTTCATTTCTTTCTCTTTTTGCCCTTCACTAGATGACTTCTGTCTTTCTTCCTTTTCCCCTCCACTAGATGACTTCTGTCTTTCTTCCTTT